TTTACACTTGCCTTTGCTGTATATAATTGCACAATTATCATGAGCATTATAGGGGTATTGCTTTGAGGAAAGAACTTCAAATTCAATGAAGTCTACAAAAAACAAAAGGGGGGGAAAAGCTATCAAATGTTCTAATCCTGTTTTGATTCTTTTGCTCTGTTTCACTTTTTCTCCTTGTAGGTATTAGGAAAACTTAACCTCAAACATTTATTCTCATTTCATATGCTTTTATGGTGACATAGTGCTTATGTGTTAGGCTGCTAATCGGTATGGTCAGCAGTTCAAAACCACCAGCCATTCCACGGAAGAAACACAAGGCTTCCTGCTGCCTTCAAGAATTACCATCTCGGAAACCCACAGGAGCAATTCTACCCTGTGCTGTAGGTCAATATGAGTCAGAATCAACACTGAGGCTGTGAATTTGGTTTGAGTATTCCTATCCAAAGGAGCCCTGATGTCACTCGGCTTAATTGCTGGGCTCCTAACGGAAAGAATCAGCACTTCAGCCCACCAGCTGCTTCATGGGAAAAGCTGTGGAGTCGACTTTGGTAAAGATTTACAGCCTTGGAAACCCTGTGGGGGAGCTCTGCTCTGGCCTATTGGGTCGCTATGAGTCTGAATCAACTTCGTGGCAGTGGGTATACCCATTAGCAAGAAAAGAATAGATTACCCCCTATAGAGAAGAGCATACTATTTGAGTGATATGCAGTGCACCTCACATTTAGAATATCTGGGCATTACAAATACCGTAGGTGATCCTTTCAGCTGATAAAATCAAGCAAGTTCTCTCCCACAGCCACTAAGTTGTTTACACAGGGCTCTGTTGCTAACACAGCCAGCCAGCCAGACCTGGAGGAAGCTTAGTACGTAATGTGCTAAATTATCCAAAAGATTCTTTCTTATTTCTCCTCTCTGTTCCTTTCTTTTGATTCTTACCAATGTGAGAATATTTTAGGCAGGAAATAGAAAACTAACCTAACACTTACCAATAGAAATGAAAACAAATATATTATTAGCTAATCCTTTTTTCCTCATTTATAAATCTCCCAACTGCCTAAATCTGCTTCTCCCGTCATTACAGAATCATAAGCCGAAGGTGGAGCCGCAGGGAGGGGGAGGGCGGATCCAGCTGCTTCTGACTGTTCTCAGCTGGTACTGTTGGGTCATGGCCATCGTTTCCCATTACTTCAGTTAGCCCTTGCTATTCTGATAGAACCCGGCCAGTGCTTTGCTTGACCATGCAGTGCTTGCATCTGTTTCCTGTAATCACGTTGATAACAGCAGGCCTTTTGGATGAGACGGTACTCAGTCTATTTAGTTCACAAATGTCGGCGTTTTCCATGGCGATTTATTTAGGAAATTGTGAAGGTCACTTCCAACACTGCTATTCTAAGAAATGACCTTATAATTTTAAAAACAATTTTTACATTAAAATCAAAACTTTAGTTTTGGATTCTTTGTGATTAGAAAAGTGTGTTTTTAAACTGGTTAGAAATATGATCCTTCTAGCTTGAACACAGCATTCTTATTATGCTTCATGTAGAAGAACTTTTCATTACTTGTTTATAAAAGTAACTACTATGTGCAAGACAGTCTCAAACTCTCATTATCATTTAACTGATTTCAAGTCTTAGTGACCCTGTAGGACCATCCAGGTAGAATTGTGCCTTTGGGGTTCCAAGAGTTGTCATCTTCTTACGAGCGAACAGCCTCATCTTTCTCCCAAGAAGGGACTGGTGGTTTTGAACCACAGACATTTCGGTTAGCAGCTCAATGTATAATCCACTGTGCCACCAGAGCTCCTTAAGACACATTCTAGGAATCAGTATCTACTGGGAAATGTAATAGACCTTCTCCTTGGCCTGCTGGATCATGATTTCATGGAGGAGACAGAAATAAAGAGTCCTTCCTAATTTGAAGGTATTGGTGTAGTAAGTTGATGTGTGCTTTCAAAACAGCAGTTAATAAGGGAGCCTAGTAGAGGGGTCAGAAAAATAACATTTGATTCCTGATAACAAGTATGAACATGAATTATCTAAAGCATATAATAGCCTAAAAATGTACTTAGGTCTCTAGAGGCCCAGCGGAAGGAAGGGGCCTGACATTTTTAATGGACCAAAAGAAAGGCAATGTGCTAAGTGTGCTAAGAGCAAGTGAAGGAAGGCCGGGGCCATAAAGAAAACAGATCCCACAGGCTTCCAGGGCTCCCTAAGGACTTAGGTCTTGGCTGCAGACAGACTTCCAGTAAGGGAGTGATCCAGTTCACATTATAATGGCTCCTCTGGCATTACTGTGGGCAACAGATTGGAACTGCCATTGGGCTGCCATTGAAATGATTTGGGATGAGGGATACGTCCTCCCCTGCCCAGGATAAGAGCCAAGGGTCACAAGTAGTTACTGAGCAGTAATCTGACCTAAAAACTATGTTTTTTATTGTGTTTAATTTTAATTAATTTAAAATGTCATGGCCACATTGTCTCAGAATAAATGTCGGAGGCCTATATTAGTCACTGCACACTCAGAGGCTAAAGACTTGCTCAGCTCTGCCAGGATTGTACTGGGGAGCACAGGGCTGAGTGGGTGCATGCTCAAGGTCCTTAGGAAGTAAAATTAGCAGGTTTGGGCTACCCGTTGGGTATGGGAACAGGAAACGGAGCAATACAGAATGCCTACTTGATTTCAGGCATATGCAGTTAAGAAGATAGTAATATTTTTTCTAAAGATAGGAACTAAAGTGGAAGATAAAGTTGCGAAGGGAAAAGTAATGAATTCCATTTTTAACCTATTTAATTTTAGATATCCTTGTAGACATACAAGTGGTTCTACTAAGTCAGCATCTACAAGAGAAAAATTGTCCTGGTAAATGTGTACATGCTGTTTGACTTTTGTATAACCAAGGCAACTGATAATGACATGCTGGTGACAAGTGTTTAAGCCGCAGCTGCTAGCCAAGGGGCCAGCAGCTCAAAACTGAGACTGCTCTCCCAGCAACGATGTGAGAGTCTGCTTCTGTAAAGGTTACTGGGCAGGTCTTCTCTGTCCTGTATAGTCACCATGAGTCAAAGGCAGCTTGACGGCAATCTTTTTCTTGTTTGCTGTTTTGTTTTGTTTTTAAACATTTTATTAGGGGATCATACAACTGTTATCACAATCCATACACACATCAATTGTGTAAAGCACATTTGTACATCATTCTCAAAACATTTTCTCTCCACTTAAACCCCCGACATTAGGTCCTCATTTTTCCCCTCCCTCCCCGCTCCCCCCTCCCTCATGAGCCCTTGATAGTTTATAAATTGGTATTTTGCCATATCTTTCCCTGTCTGACGTCTCCCTTCACCCACTTTTCGGTTGTCTGTCCCCCAGGGAGGAGGTCACATATAGTTCCTTGTATTCGGTTCCCTCTTTCCTACCCATTCTCCCTTTACCCTCCCTGTTTCGCCACTCACACCACTAGTCCTGTAGGGCTCATCTGCCCTGGATTCCCTGTATTTTCAGTTCCTATCTGTACTAGTGTACATCCTCTGGTCTAGCCAGACTTGCAAGGTCAAATTCGAGTCATGGTAGGGGAGCGGGGAGGAAACCTTTAGGAACTAGAGGAAAGTTGTATTTCTCATCATTGTTACATCGCACCGACTGGCTCATCTCCTCCCCGAGACCCCTCTGCAAGGGGATCTCCAGTGGCCTACTAATGGGCTTTGGATCTCGACTCCACACTCCCCCCATCATTCACTATGGTAAGATTTTTTGTTCTGATGATGCCTTATACCTGATCCCTTCGACACCTCGTGGTTGCATAGGCTGGTGTGCTTCTTCCATGTGGGCTTTGTTGCTTCTGAGCTTGATGGCCACTTGATTACCTTCAAGCCTTTAAGACCCCAGACGCTATACTTTTTGATAGCCGGGCACCATCAGCTTTCTTCGCCACATTTGCTTATGCACCCATTTGTCTTCAGTGATCCCTTCGACACCTCATGATCACACAGGCTGATATGTTGTTCCATGTGGGCTTTGTTGCTTCTGAGCTAGATGGCTCTTGTTTGCTGTTTTGAAGTAGATGAATCAAATTCTCTTTCTGTTATAAAACAGCGTTCAGTTTTAAGGCAGTTTTATTAATGGTCATATTTTCTGACTCCAGGAATATCTCATTGTGTTCTGCTTTTATAGAGAAACATGTTTGAGTAATACAAGTATTCATCAATAGAAAAAGAATATGTTTTGTGTAATATGGCAGAGAGCAATCCAGTCCAAATGTGAGGCTGGGTGGCTTCTGGAATCACACCGCATTTATCAACATTTTCATCTCATTGAAACTCCCTAAACTTCCTTTCTCGTTCATTTTTAAGATGAGGATAACGATATAGATACCTTATCAATGGCTAGGTTTCAGGCAGTGTGCATACTGGATCTGGTAAAATAAATGTCAGTGTTTATTAGAAAGAAAAGAAAGAAATGCCAGTCCTAAGGGGGAAATGTTTCTCTGGCCCGCCTTCTCTCACCAGTCCTGCAGCCTATGCCATCCCTCAGGGGGGTTTGTTTTGTTGTGCTTCTTCGACCTTCTAGATTGATTTCACCTGAAAATTTATCAAATTATAATAATGACAAGACCCTAAGGAGCTACGTGCCTTAGCACAAGCTGGTATTGTAAGCTAATAATACTTAAAGGTTTGACGGAGTTTTCATTATTGAGACTTAGCATCTTAATTTAAACACTTAATGTGAAACATTTTAATTTTCTCGCCAGAATTTTTTTAATTACATGAGATTATCATCATGTTTATGAAACTACCCTAGTAATTATTTCAAGTATATCACATTAGTTAACAGCACATCTGTTCATTTCAGGATATCATTCCCCAAACTGGAGATTTGTTAGAGTTTAAATATAACATTGGGCTGCAGTTTAGGGTGTTAGAGCCTAGTTGCTAATGTGATTTTGCTGTATTATCTGAATTAAAGGCCAAATCACTCTAAAATCCATCGTTCCCTTCTCTTTGCAGACCACGTGTCAGTTGGAGGTCTTGGAGACAGCTTTTACGAATATCTGCTAAAGGCGTGGTTGATGTCTGACAAGACAGATATTGAAGCTAAGAAGATGTATTTTGATGCTATCCAGGTAAACCCAATGTTTACAGCAGCTTTGTCACTCACTCCTAAGTTATAACTTGCATTTTAAACAACCTTTAGTGAAACGATGGGATGCTACCTGAATGGGTTACAAAGCATTTCCATTAGATAGAGTTCAGTATCTGCTAATGGCATCCTAACAGTGATCGTCACACTTAATGTGTTTAGTCCTAATGGGGAATAAAACGTTTTTTACATAATTCAAACCTCAGGTAAAATTTGTATCTGAGAAAGAGAGGTATTCTTTTATAATTATGAGTTTCCCGCTTAAAGCCACAGTGAAAATCAAAGGAAAATGAGATCTTGCCTTTTTATTCTGAAACTTGACTAAATTAAAATTGCCTAGAATTGCTAACAGTCCTGTTGGTTGCCTCCATGTAAAATAAACTTATCTCCAAGGGTATGTGGAACTGAGCTTATACAGATAGGCTATTATTTCTAAAGATATCCACATAAAAATAGCAGAATTAATCAAATATGTAAGGGTAGATTATTAATATTTTTGAAAGATCTTTATGGAAAAAGAATAAGTTGGGGCACACGTTTGTTGAATTGCTTAATATGTGCTAAGCAGTATGTTAAGGATTGCAAAAATGATCTGAAAGTAGTGTCTAACCTCCTCTAACTGTACAAGGAAGGAGAACGGGCATTAGCCCAAGGCCAATCCTTAATGGGCAGAGTTCAGACATGCCTCCACCCTTCAACCTTTTAACCAATTCTGATGCCACCTGTTTCCCTCACAGCCCTCTGCTTCTCTGCCGGATTCAGTAATAAGTTGTTGCAATGATCACACAGAAGTCACAGATAATACTCAGTTATGTGATTTCTTAGGGAAGTAACTGCATACAAATCAGGATTTGAAATGCTAGGATGCAATTCTTTGATCAGGACATGTTCACAGAGGTTACAAAGCTCTGTTAGCTCAGCTGAGTGAGCACCCATTCCCGCGGGAAGGCTAGACCTGAAGGCATTGGATTCTGGCATTGTGGGTCGGCAAACCTAGCTCTGCAGGCAATCTCCCTGCCACCAAGCCACCTGCCAAAGGCACTCAGCCTTTTCATTGCCTATCATTAGAAGCCTTCCCCTCGGATGCTGCCATTTCTCTGCTGCTGCTTCTCACCCTCTCCAATATCACAGTTCTCTGTTCTCGAGATTTAGAGAGTTCAGCACTGGGATGCCAGGCCCAGGGCATGCCCTCCAGTCCTGGTTCTTTCTTGATGGTAGTGAGAGCCCTCTTCCCATCTCTAAGATGGTTCATTTTTAGCTAAGCAGTATGACAAACCTAAACCATTCCCTCATTAAGGTTCTGTACACCACATTTGCATGGTCTCACTCAGCAAGTATGGCATGTACTTTATCTGCATTATTAGTAAGCCATTCATCCCCTCGGTGAGCCACAAGCACCACACATGGGCATAGTCCAACCCAGTCCTTTAGTGAGCGTTACAAAGAATCTGACTGAAAAGGCCTTATCAAGTAATTTACTGCATCACATGTCTTTTAAATAAAGATTGGTTTTGGGGGTGGTTTTTTTTTTTCTTAACTTATATTTGAAGACCAAAAAAATCCCCCTACCATTGAGTGACTCCTTACTCCTAGTAACTCTTACAGGTCAGACTAGACTGCCACAGAGGTGTCCAGAGCTGCGATCTTTGCAGAGGCAATCCGTCCGTCCTTCTCCCGCAGACCAGCTGGCGGTCCCAAACGACCAGCCTTCTCATTAACAGCCCACACAGTGCTTACCCGCTGAGCCGCCAGGGCTCCTTGTATCCTCCTAGCTTTATAAACATGAAAAGTAAGCCTCAGATTGGTTGAATGATGAACTAAAATTAAAACTAAAATTTGTCTATACTGACACCTACACCTTTTTTACTTTGCAGCCATACATTCATTTTTTAAGAACTCCCATATTACATTTAAATGTTTATTTACAGGCATATGTTAGAAACTGCTAATCAAAGTTTATAGGAAATAACAGTGTAGAGGTAAACTAAAAAACATCTCCAATTAAGCTTTTAACAGAATGATTATAAAATTTATGAAGTCAAGGAGAAAATCATATTACATAAAACACTTGAAGTCAAACTCAGCTTTTTGAGGAAAACTGTTTCAGCAGATCCAGGTACCCTTTAATTAGTAGATACATACAGCATGTTAAGTGTTAATTATTATCAAGACATCTCGCATTTTTAAATTGTGACTGAGAAATTAGACCTTAGAAAATTGCCCTTTGCATTGATGGCTTAGAAATATTTTATAATCAAGAGTCATAATTGGTCATTATTAGCAGTAATTAGTAGTTTAAAAAATGGGAAATGTGTGGGGACAGGGATATGTCTGTAAGGAGGTCTGGCTAGGCTATCTTATTTACATGTAAAGGAAGTTTCTTTATGCTGACTGGAGTACCTTGGGTATAATGTTGGCTCCCATCCTGACGTCAATTGGGATCTTCCTGAAGCAGAGAAGAGACAGCTTTTACTCTTTCACACCCAGAAATCAAAAGCACCTGAGATCACTGACCCTCACTCCTCGAGGCATAGGATGGGTGTCAGAAAGAAAGCTAGGAATGGCTCCTACCCCTTCCAAGCTTATTTTTCTTTGCTCCTACAATATAACAGATTTTATTCTAGAAATTTCTTCTCTATATATTATGATTTTTCATGTGACATCTTCTAATTACCACAACAGCATATATTTTTAATTACTCTAATTTTAAAGTGACCCCCTAAGTGCTTCATGTTCCAGGAAAGAGAGCTTTAAAATATTCTTTGAAATATTCCCCTAGTTTCTAAGACTATACCCACAGAGCTTTTAATATATTGTATTTAGACAAACCATTGACAGGAAGATCCATTAAGAACAAATGAAATCAAAGTGTTTCCTGTTTCTCTTAACAGTAAGAACAGTTCCAGTCCATTATATGTTTTCAATTTAGAAAGCAAAGTTGGAGCAAATGAGCTTCTATCTTGAGAAGTAGCAAAAGTCTTACAGAACAAAGTTTCTTTTTGCTAAATTGTACTTTAAAATATCATCATTATCTAAACAAACTATGGTAAAGGAATAAAATTCTAATACACCCATGACATGGATGAACCTTGAGCGCGTCATGCCAGATACAAAAGGAGAACTATTGTGTGATCCTTGTATTGCATGGGATATCCAGAATATACAATTGCACAGAGACAGGAAGTAGATTAGTGGTTACCATGGCTGTGGGAAGGAAAAAAGGTGGAGTTATTGCTTAGGTTTGTGCAGAGTTTCTGTTTGAGGTGACAGAAAAGTTTTGGAACTAATGAATGTAAAATGAGGTTAAAATGGTCATTTCATATTATACATCTTCTATAATTCTTTTTAATTTTAAATCATTATCAAGCAAAAGATGACTTACATTATTGTGCTGGATAGTTGAATTAGCAAAGGTACGATTACTCTGTTTAACCTCAAAATGGGTCATGGACAACAGTTTGGACCAGGAAGAAGGGAGCTAAGTGAGGGTGCGTTGAGGGGATTGCAGTGGATGAATGGCGGTTGGCGTTTTGTCGTCCTTTGTACATAGTCCCTACATTTCCCTATTGTCCCACAGAGGAGAGCCGTGCCTGTGAAGGTTCTGGGACTTCATTGGGGTTTATTTTGAGAGGCAGCAACTTGGTCAGAATCATGCCAGAAATAATGTAGTACTTTATTCAGGCTCCATAACAAGCTAATAAGGTTTCTCTAATCCATGCTCAAAAGCTATTTCTCTTGTCATATGGAAAGAATCATTTCTTGGGGGATGAACAAGTATCTGCTTGGAGGACTTTATTGCAATTTGGGTTATGAGAAGTGCAAATAGCCAAGATGTTCTATTGCACTAAATAAGAATGAAATATTAATGTGATAACTAGACCATCAATTAAATTCGCTTAACTACAGTTAACGAGCACAGAAGTATGTTCATTTATTTCTTACAGTCTTGGTACCATTTGTTTATTTCTGATGGAGAGAAGAAAGAATTTCTCTGCCTTGTATTCATTTTATCTATCAGAATTTTTTTCTGTCATTGTAGACTGCTTCCCCCCCAAAATCCTCCTTTGTGGGAGTATTGTAACAGGTATAGACACAATCATAATCCTCTTCTTTCTATGATATAATTGGAGGGAAACTTAACACCTTTCATATTTTAAAATGTAAGACTTTTTTTTTTATCTTATACAAAACAGTAACAATTATATGACAGGAATAAAAGATTTTTTTAATTTTAATGTTACCATTCCCTTCCCTTAAGTTTAAGCATTTTTACTCTTTTTGTGTATTTTTTCACATATGCTAATGTGCTTTTTAATATGATTACTATACAGGAACTTGATTGAAGTGTTAAGACAATGGAAATGGTGGTGATAAATGATATTTATCAAGTGGCAGTCACAGGACCGCCTGCTATATAACAAGCTGTTTTTGAGTAGATGGTATTATTCTCACATTATGGCTAAGGATACGGAGACTTAGGGATGTAATAAGCAAATTATTCACAAAGTTCATCCATCGTGACAGGGCTGTAACTTGAAGCCAAAGAGGCTTTAGAACAGCTCCGTTTACTAATCTGTTTTGCTCCCGCTTGGTGCCTAAGGCTGCTTTCTTGGGTAATTCTATCCAAGACTGATGCCCCTAGCCTGGCATTTTACCCACAGATATGCTCGATTCCTCATCCTTGGTGGGGTCCGTGCTTTGTCTTGTTTTTCCAGTTGTAGAAACAGAAATGTAGTAAATCAGTACTTACCACTGCTCTGGTGACTGGTGTTTGAGAGGAAGCAACTTTGGGTGTGAAGACAAAATGTATTTAGTCACAGATCCAAGCCAGACCAACTGACGGCCCACAGCATCACGTCACATTGCCCACGCTAATGGAGTATGGACTCGAAGAAGAATACAGGAAACAGCAACGTACCATCTCAGATCAAATTGGTTTTGTAGCACCAAACAAAAAATTGACGGACGTGGTAGGATCAGCAACAGCCACAGTGCCACCGGCTTTTTTAAACAAAACATGGTTGAGTAGCTGCTATTGGTCCCATTTTATGGAGTACTGGTTTTCATTCTCCATTTTTAATGTTGGAGACGATCATATAAGTTTGAGAAGAATATAAATTTGAATATAAATTCAACATTGCAAAATGTTGAAACTAAGTCTTTTTCAGGCGATTGAGACTCACTTGATCCGAAAGTCCAGCGGGGGGCTGACGTACATCGCCGAGTGGAAAGGAGGCCTGCTGGAGCACAAGATGGGCCACCTGACCTGCTTCGCGGGAGGCATGTTTGCCCTCGGGGCGGACGGGGCACCCGCCAGCCTGGCCCAGCATTATCTGGAACTCGGAGCTGAAATCGCCCGGACCTGTCATGAATCTTACAATCGCACCTGTGAGTACACGTTGCTGCTCTTCATTGACAGTCTGTTCCCCGTGCTTGGATGTCGTACAATCAGGATCTTCACCAGTGCTGTCAATGAGCAACTATGCACTGTACGTGATGACAATGATTGATATCACGAAAGAATTTTTTTTTTAACTTTTGAAAAACTTTTATTTCCACATGAAAATATCTATTTTGGTTTACCTGGAAACACAATTCCAGGCCATAAAGGGTTAAGCCAAAATAATTTATTGACCTCTGATTTGGATAAACCGCATGGAAAGGGTCTCTGTCCTAGTACAGAAAGAAGCATCATATTTTATGAACCATTAATATTCTTCCTAGTATCCCTATGTAATAGATTATGAATCCAGTTACCCTCTTACTGCATTATAAATTCCGTGAGGTTTATAACTACACCTTTAAAAATGATTTTTTTAACCTCTCTCGAATGTGTTTAAGTGCTCCAATTGCATTTCCCTGATAGATTCCACATGCTGTCCGTGACAATTACCCTCATCCATTGCTTCTCCTTTAGATGTGAAGCTGGGGCCAGAAGCTTTCAGATTTGACGGTGGAGTTGAAGCCATCGCTACAAGGCAAAATGAAAAATACTACATCCTACGACCAGAAGTTGTGGAGACTTACATGTACATGTGGCGGCTGACTCACGACCCAAAGTACAGGAAATGGGCCTGGGAGGCTGTGGAGGTGATGTTTTAATTTGATTGTGTTTCTTACAATTTTTTCCCAGGCTCTATTCAAGTTTGGATGTTTTCAGCTTGGTCATTTTATATTTTGTACTTCAGACTTCAGTAATCACCAGTTACTGTTAAGCCAATTCATTTTCCTGGTGAGCTTATGTGTGTGAGAGCTGTGCTGTGCTCTATCAGGCTGCAAGGGCTCCGTTTTCAGAAGTACATCACCAGACCTTTCGTCCGAAGTGGCTACAGGTCAACTTGAACCTCCAGCCTTCATTAGCGGCCACGTACATTAAATATTTATACCACACCACCAGTATCTTAATATAATGTTTTTTTTTAATCTACTAGGAAATTTTTATATTGGAGCAAATATCTATTAAGGCATATTATAAAATTAAGTGCCGTGCCTATGGACTGGTGATCATGTAAATTCACTAAGGGATACTGGCAACTAAGGGATACTCACCCTGTTTGTTGTTTGTCTCCAGAAACCCCACTACATGATGGGAGTGGCAGAATAGATGCATTGACTTAGGGCCATTTAGCTACTTACTTCTAGCTAGTAGAAAGAACGTATAGAAAACCTGCTTTGTGTAAAGATACTCCTTCACTGTTTTTAGGCTTCTTTGTATATAAGCTTTCCATCTGCCCAAGGTGTTTTGGAATTGTGCTTCTACCTTTTTGTCCTTTGCTGCCAAATATAGTGCATCATCTTCTTAAATGAACCTAATCATATACTCTGTGGGCTAGACACCACAGGAGGCACGCCAGGAATTGTACGGAACAATCTCAAATTTCAAGAACTAGCATTCTGAAAGGAGGTGGAGAGAAAGCAGGGGATATGAGCAAGTAAATGCTTTAATTCCACTCTTACTCTCTATACACAACCCCAGATCCAAACCCATTGCGATGGAGTTGGTGGCCACTCTTCACAGTAGAACCACCCTGTAGGCGTCCCGAGGCTATCCACCTTTATGGTAATGGGCTGCCACATATTTCTCCCACAGAGAGCGGGTAGGCTCAAACTGCTGACTTGCAGATTAGCAGCCGAGAGCTTAACCACTGTTCCACCGTGGCTTCTATTGTACACAGACTGATGTAGAAAACCTCAACAGACCCATAACAAAAGAAGCAATTGATCAGATTCTTTTAAAAAATCTCCAACCAAAAAAAGGCTAGGACTAGAGGGTTTCACCGGGGAATTCTACCAAGTGTTCAGAAAAGAGCTGACACCAAATCTACACAGACTGTTCTAGAATATAGAAAGGGATAACAAACTCCCAAACTCATTTTATGAAGTGAGCATGGCCCTGGCACCAAAACCAGGCAAAGACCCCACAAGAATAAAAAGCTACAAACCAATATGAATATAGATGCAAAAACTCTCCACAAAATCCTGGTCAATAGAATTCAACAACATAGCAACAAAATAACACAAGATCAGTGGGATTCATACTAGGTATACAGGGTGGTTCAACATTGGAAAAATAATTAATGCAATTCACCACATTAAAAATTAAAGAATCACATGATCACATTAGTTGACACAAAAAGGGCATTTGACAATAGCTGTCATTTCCTCTGGTAACAGAATCCGAGAAAGGTGCCCCTTATCACCACTTTTGGTCAACATTGTGCTGGAAATCTTAGCCAGAATCACTTTATGACAAAACAAAATCAAAGGAAACTGACAGAACAGACAAGAGACTAATCTTTAAAACCTCTAGAAAACGGTAATATCTCAATAAGGGGAAAAAAGATTAATCCAATTTAAAAGTGGGCAAAGGACATGGACAGTTCACCAAAAATGGCCAACGAACATGAAAAAGTGCTTGCTATCAGTAGCCACCCACCCCATAGATGTAAATCAAAACAATATGCTATATCACCTTACACTGAAAGTGGCAGCCCAATTCAAAAAACTTAAAATGCTGGAGAGGATGCAGAGAAATTGGAATTCTCATACAATACTAGTATGTCTAGTGATGGGTATTTGGACTGTTTCCAACTTCTCGCTATTGTAAACAAGACTTCGATGAACATGGGAATGAATCCATGTGTCACACTCCTGCACTTTCTTCTTTAGGCTATAAGCTCCCCTGTCTGTAGCCCATCATAGTCAGTGTCACAAAAGTTTGGATTTGGGGGAGGTCTTTGAAATCATTAGAGAAATACGGTCTTATTCACTGTGAAATCCCAAATACAGAGGCCTTTGGAGAACACTTTCACTAAAGAATTAACTCATGCTGCCCAAGAGGGACCACTAAAGAATGGGACTGCTCTTGGAAAATATTTGACAAACAGTGCAGTCAGAATGCCCCAGGAAGCTCATGTAAAACACCTTCTGGAAAATGGTCTCAGAAACCTGCTTACATGTGGTTCTGCATGGCTGACTCAGATGTCCATAAAGATTAGCTGCTTTGTGACCAACAAAGGTATTTTGACTTGTTTTATGAGCTTTTAATGGAAACTTCTGGGGTCTCATAGTAACGTCATGATTGATTAGACAAAACTTTGTAAATGTCAGCCAATCAGAAAAATTGCTGTTAGTTCAGACAGTTTTATAGGAAAGCATCCTGAAAATGATACTGTATTGGAACACATTGTAATTTTACTTGGTGCTGCCCAGTTTAAACTAACAAAACTACAAAATTCCTTATGACATGGATAGACTTGGGGAACATCATGCTGAATAAAGTTATTCAATCACAAAAGGACAAATATTGTATGAGACCACTGCCACGACGATAAAAAGCGTGTATACCAGAGGGAACAGACGAATTCTGACATCCATTCTACACAGTTCTCCAGAGCGTTCCCAGATGAATTGAGCTCCAGTTGCACACAGCTCTAACTTGTTCTCATTAGCATATTCCATTGACTCTGCTTCCCTGTCTGTTTCACTCCTGACTTGCTCACGTCGTTGTACCACCTGCCCGGTAAACTTGGAGAATCCTGTCCTTCCCTTATATTGTTTTCAGGGAAACTCAAACTGAAACATGGGGGAATCTTAGAAATCACCTCCTCCAGTCTCCTCTCTATAATCTTTGCCAAATGGCTAGTCCTCCTCTATTTAAGAAGTCCCAGAAAAAATAATGCACTAGTACAGAAATCCATTCCATTGTTTTTAATGGGTGAAAGTATTGAGCCAGAATTAGGGGCATTGTGGGGGGTGGGGGGGCAGATAAAATCCATTTATCTTCTGTCTTTCAGCTCCTCAAATGGCATATTCTGCCAACTCTCCCTTTCCTTGATTTATCATATCCTTTCACCTTCGCTTAGCA